TGGGGCAGTTCCGCTTCCAGTGACCAGTTTGCTTGCAGTAGAAGCACTCAGTTTCAGGCTTAGGTCCAGACTTGGGTTTCTTCTCTTGAGCAGCAACTTGCTTGCTGTTCTTCTTGAAATTCCCCTTCTTCTTCCCTTTGCCCTTTTTCTTGAAACTAGTGGTCTTGTTGACCATCAACACTTGATGCTCCTTCTTGATTTCTACCTCCGCAGCTTTTAGCATTGCGAAGAGCTCGAGAATTGTCTTGTTCATCCCTTGCATATTATAGTTCATCACAAAGCTCTTGTAGCTTGGTGGCAGTGATTGGAGAATTCTGTCAATGACGCTATCATCTGGAAGATTAACTCCCAGTTGAATCAAGTGATTATTATACCCAGACATTTTGAGTATATGCTCACTGACAGAACTATTCTCCTCCATCTTGCAGCTGTAGAACTTATTGGAGACTTCATATCTCTCAATCCGGGCATTTGCTTGAAATATTAACTTCAACTCTTGGAACATCTCATATGCTCCATGACGTTCAAAACGTCGTTGAAGACCCGGTTCTAAGCCGTAAAGCATGGCACACTGAACTATAGAGTAGTCATCAGCTTTGCTCTGCCAGACGTTCACAACATCTGGCGTTGCTCCTGCAGCAGGCCTGGCACCCAGCGGTGCTTCCAGGACGTAATTCTTCTGTGCAGCAATGAGGATAATCCTCAAGTTACGAGCCCAGTCCGTGTAATTGCTACCATCATCTTTCAACTTTGCTTTCTCAAGGAACACATTAAAATTCAACGGAACAACAGCGCGAGCCATCTATCTACAAACATAGATAAGCAAAAATACTATCAGGTACTAAGTTCATGATAAATTTAAGTTCAATTAATAATATTACTTAAGAACTCCCACTTAGACAGACATCTCTCTAGTCATCTAAGTGATCACGTGATCCAAATCAACTAAACCATAACCGATCATCACGTGAGATGGAGTAGTTTTCAATGGTGAACATCATTATGTTGATCATATCTACTATATGATTCACGCTCGACCTTTCGGTCTCCATGTTCCGAGGCCATATCTGCATATGCTAGGCTCGTCAAGTTTAACCTGAGTATTCTGCGTGTGCAAAATTGGCTTGCACCCGTTGTAGATGGACGTAGAGCTTATCACACCCGATCATCACGTGGTGTCTGGGCACGACGAACTTTGGCAACGGTGCATACTCAGGGAGAACACTTCTTGATAATTTAGTGAGAGATCATCTTAAAATGCTACCGTCAATCAAAGCAAGATAAGATGCATAAAAGATAAACATCACATGCAATCAATATAAGTGATATGATATGGCCATCATCATCTTGTGCTTCTGATCTCCATCTCCGAAGCATCGTCATGATCATCATCACCGGCACGACACCTTGATCTCCATCGTAGCATCCTTGTCGTTTACGCCGTCTATTGCTTCTACGACTATCGCTACCGCTTAGTGATAAAGTAAAGCAATTACAGGGCGTTTGCATTTCATACAATAAAGCGACAACCATATGGCTCCTGCCAGTTGCCGATAACTTCGGTTACAAAACATGATCATCTCATACAAAATATAGCATCACGTCTTGACCATATCACATCACAACATGCCCTGCAAAAACAAGTTAGACGTCCTCTACTTTGTTGTTGCAAGTTTTACATGGCTGCTACGGGCTTAGCAAGAACCGTTCTTACCTACGCATCAAAAACACAACAATAGTTCGTCAAGTTAGTGATGTTTTAACCTTCGCAAGGACCGGGCGTAGCCACACTCGGTTCAACTAAAGTTGGAGAAACTGACACCCGCCAGCCACCTGTGTGCAAAGCACGTCGGTAGAACCAGTCTCGCGTAAGCGTACGCATAATGTCGGACCGGGCCGCTTCATCCAACAATACCACCGAACCAAAGTATGACATGCTGGTAAGCAGTATGACTTGTATCGCCCACAACTCACTTGTGTTCTACTCGTGCATATAACATCAACGCATAAAACCTGGCTCTGATACCACTGTAGGGGAACGTAGTTATTTCAAAAAAATTCCTACGCACATGCAAGATCATGGTGATGCATAGCAACGAGAGGGGAGAATGTGTCCACGTACCCTCGTAGACTGAAAGCGGAAGCATTATGACAACGCGGTTGATGTAGTCGTACGTCTTCACGATCCGACCGATCCAAGCACCGAACGTACGGCACCTCCATGTTCAGCACACGTTCGATGACATTCCCCGGACTCCGATCCAGCAGGGTGTCGGGAATGAGTTCCGTCAGCACGACGGTGTGGTGACGATGATGATGTTCTACTGGCGCAGGGCTTCGCCTAAACTCCGCGACGATATGACCGAGGTGGAATATGGTGGAGGGGGGCACCCCACACGGCTAAGGAACGATCCGTAGATCAACTTGTGTGTCTCTAGGGTGCCCCCTGCCCCCGTATATAAAGGAGCAAGGGGGGAGGCTGGCCGGCCCTAGGGGCGCGCCAAGGAGGGGGGAGTCCTCCTCCTAGTGGGCGTAGGACTCCGCTTTCCTAGTCCCACTAGGAAGGAGGAAGGGGGAAGGAAAGAGAGGGAGAGGGAGAGGGAAAGGGGGGCCGCGCCCCCTCCCCTAGTCCAATTCGGACTCCTCAAGGGGTGGGCACCTCCTGGGCTGCTGCCCTCTCTCTCCCCTCAGGCCCACTAAGGCCCATTACTTCTCCCAGGGGGTTTCGGTAACCCTCCGGCACTTCGGTTTTCTCCGAAATCATCTGGAACACTTCCGGTGTCCGAATATAGTCGTTCAATATATCAATCTTTATGTCTCGACCATTTCGAGACTCCTCGTCATGTCCGTGATCACATCCGGGACTCCGAACAAACTTCGGTACATCAAAACTTATAAACTCATAATAAAACTGTCATCGTAACGTTAAGCGTGCGGACCCTACGGGTTCGAGAACTATGTAGACATGACCTAGAACTGTTTCCGATCAATAACCAATAGTGGAACCTGGACGTTCATATTGGCTCCTACATATTCTACGAAGATCTTTATCAGTCAAACCGCATAACAACATACATTGTTCCCTTTGTCATCGGTATGTTACTTGCCCGAGATTCGATCGTCGGTATCCAATACCTAGTTCAATCTCGTTACCGGCAAGTCTCTTTACTCGTTCCGTAATACATCATTATGTAACTAACTCATTAGTTACAATGCTTGCAAGGCTTAAGTGATGTGTATTACCGAGAGGGCCCAGAGATACCTCTCCGACAATCGGAGTGACAAAACCTAATCTCGAATTACGCCAACTCAACATGTACCTTTGGGGACACCTGTAGAGCACCTTTATAATCACCCAGTTACGTTGTGACGTTTGGTAGCACACAAAGTGTTCCTCCGGTAAACGGGAGTTGCATAATCTCATAGTTGTAGGAACTTTGTATAAGTCATGAAGAAAGCAATAGCAACATACTAAACGATCAAGTGCTAGGCTAACAGAATGGGTCAAGTCAATCACATCATTCTCCTAATGATGTGATCTCGTTAATCAAATGACAACACATGTCTATGGTTAGGAAACATAACCATCTTTGATTAATGAGCTAGTCAAGTAGAGGCATACTAGTGACATTATGTTTGTCTATGTATTCACACATGTATCATGTTTCCGGATAATACAATTCTAGCATGAATAATAAACATTTATCATGATATGAGGAAATAAATAATAACTTTATTATTGCCTCTAGGGCATATTTCCTTTAGGAACATGTTGTGGCCTAAACACCCAGTTTTGGCGTAAAGGAGGGAATGGGCCATAATCGGACCAGTGGGATAAATCGGCCTTATAGCCAGTTAATGAGCACTCAGGCCTAGGTGCGGCTTTATTTTGCGTGGGTGTTCGGTTGGACGCAGGTGTAAGTGCAGAGGCAATGGCACTAGGATCAGGAAGAACCGGCTGGCGCGAGAAGTGGCGCGGGAGCCGCGGCGTAGGAGGGAAGATTTGAATGAGTCGTGTTGGGTCGCGTTGTAAGTCATGGGCCGTGGGCCAGAGTAGGTGTGATGTGTGGGCTTGCGGTTTATAAGCAAGCATTGGCACTGTAGATCATCAAGTTTGAATTGAATCATTTTGAGCCTCTCGCTGTCTCTCTCTCGTCCTCTCTGTCTTACCCCCTCTCGAGCTACTTTCCCCTTCCCCTCGCCATGGCCTCGCTCCGCTGTCTCTCTCAGTAGCTACTTCACCGTCGGCGACTCGGTCCGTCCCACGGTCGTGACAGCGGGCCTGGGCGTAGTGGCCGTTTTCGTGTAATATGACCAAAGAATATGGCCACTTCGGTATATACCCCTTCGATTTTTAAGTGTGAAGCTGCGGGAAGCAACTCTCCCCCTAGCTTTTTTTCCATTGTGAAGGAGATGGAGATGGAAAATGAATAGGGCCCTAAGTTGAGCTAGCTTCTCCAAAACGAGTTCTTGAGCTTTTGGCTTGTTTTAACAACAAGCTACTAGAAGCTACAAAAAACTGGCCCTTATTACTGTTGGCGGTCAAAATGGATGAAAGTGCAACATAGAGAACACAACCTACATGTATGTAGTGTCAAAAGGAGGGAAAAATTAGGCCAAATAGGAAAGAACACTTAAAATGGGCAGATAAGGAATTCTCTCACAACTAGCCAAACAGTGGAGCATCAGATTTGACGGGCTGGAGCAAATGACACCCGTTAACCCGTACAGTAGGATCCAGATCTGTTTTCGTTCCTTTATGGCGATTGATCTACAAAGCTCGTTCAGGGCCTCCAGATCTGCAGGATTCCTTGAGAGTTGAGAATCATCTCAGCCCAAATCGACCAAGCAAGATCGAAAATGCTCTGTTATAATCACCAACGAATCATCAAACAACTTTGCACGCACGCATTACATCTCAAACTTTCCAAAGATTGTCCGAAAAATCAAAGCGTCCGAGTTAATCTTTTATTCCCATGCCGAATCCATTCACCGGGCGCTCATTTCTTGATGAATTTCACCAGGCGCTCCTGCAGCTTGACGCCCTCCCCGGAGCCCAGCTGGTCGAAGTGGAAGGCGTGGCCGACGCCCTTGGACTCGAACATCTCGATCTCGCCGGCGTAGCCGCTGGCCTTGAGCTCGCGGGCGTACCACAGGCCGCGCTCCTTGAGCAGGACGTCGTCCTCGGCCACGCACACCAGCACGCGCTCGCACGGGATCCCGGCCACGGCGGCGCGCGCCTCGTCGGTCACGAACGGGTTCACGTTGGGGTCGTCCAGGCCGAGCGAGCCCGGGAACACGAAGCGCCAGGTGCGGTCCATGAAGTCGCGCACGTCGGGGCCGAACGCGGCCTCCGCGCCCACGGGCTCCTTGCCCGTGAAGTAGGGGTGCACGGCCATGAGGCCCCGGACGGCGGCGCCCTCGGGCAGCGCGCCGGGCGCGGCGGCGCGGACGGCCATGTTGTGCGCGATGTTGGCGCCGGCGCTGCAGCCGGAGAGGAAGACGCGGGAGAGGTCGGCGTGGTCGAGCAGCCAGGGGTCGGCGCCGTCCCCGCCGGTGAGGACCCAGCGCACGGCCGCCCAGCCGTCGTCGTAGGCGGCGGGGAGCGGGTGCTCGGGGGCGAGGCGGTAGTAGACGGACACGCCGACGGCGCCGGAGCGGGCGACGAGGTCGTTGAGGTAGGCGTGGGTGGAGGGGCGGGCCGGGGAGCCGACCACGAAGCCGCCGCCGTGGAAGTAGACGACGACGGGGAGCTTGCCGGGGGCCGCGGCGGAGGAGGCGTCGGGCGGGAGGTAGACGCGCGCGCGGGCGGGGCCGGCGTGGATGTCCTTGGAGACGACGCCGGTGAGCGGGTCGGTGCCGGCGGGGGCGAAGGCGTCGCCGCCCGGGCGGTGCACGCGGCCGCTCTTGTACTGGCAGAGGTAGGGCGGGAAGTCGAAGGCGATCTCGGAGTCGGGATCCATGGCGCGGCGGTTGGTGGCGTTGGCGTCGGCGGCGGTGGTGGGGGGAGCGGTGGGAGGGGAAAGTGCGGTGGCCACCTACAACAACAAACGGAGGTGGACTTTAGTAGTGGCAGTTTCTCGATCCGGCGTAACAAACGCGCAGTCAACTCTCACCAACCACGGCAACCATGCGCCAACCAAACATGTGAGCGTGATCGTTGCACGACGGCACCTCCCTGAGATTTTTCCTCCCCGTGTGGTTGGAGGTTTTCAGTCGCTATGTTTTGGCAAGTAATTCCACCGTGATAATTTGCGGTTGCTGCAAGAGGATGTGATGTGACAACCAAGATCACAACCTTCCATTGCAATTTGCAATCCTTGCGATGCAACCTTTTTTCTTCAAGACACTATGCTGAACTTGGCACTGACCTCGGTTGAGTTTTTTTTTTTTACAGTTTTTGGATTGGGACTCGCAATCAGGTGTGAATTTCAATTCCCCCTTTGGGATCTTCAGTTTGCAAAATGCTATACTTATGGAAATCGATGTGCCAGCACAAACGTAAAACATTCAGGAGCAAAATACCTAATATTTCCCCACAAAAAAACAATACTTATATTCAAAATTCGTATGTTCAGAAGTTAGGTGCAACGTAAGCTCGAAACTGAAAATTCGTACTACATAAAACAAATCTCAAATACATCATCCAGCTCGCCCAATTCATGAATTAGCAGGTTTCCTTTACCATCAGGAGCTTCCAATCATGTTACTTACTGCGTTCTGCAGAGAGGCGAGCGAATCGACAGCGCCCTTTGCCAACCAACTGACTCCAACCTTCACCCGGTGCTCATCAGTGGGCATCCTGAGGCAGTACACTAGCTTCCTAGCTGCACAGCCAGGTTAAATTTTTACTCCTACACGAAAAGGTTATTAAGCTAACAAAAAGGTGAAACAACAGGCCTGCAAGGGTCCATACCAGCATGCCCTATGGGCCCTTCCAAGGTCAGTCCCTCGATGAAGTTTGCTGTTATCGCGGCATCGTTTCTACCCAGTGTCATCATCTCACCAAGATTTTGGAACCTGGAAATGCACAGGTTGTTTCGGCTCAACTCGTTATGCAACTTAACTTTTCCCACGAAAATGATCGAACATCGTCAAGCAGAATGGTGATGCTTGGTGTATCGAAATGAATAATACAACGCTGATGCTAGGTTCAAACCTGAACGGCAAAAGGGGCCGGTCATTGATTGCCGCCCAGAGATTCCAACCAGCGAAATCTGCTTGCTGAAAAGCAACCTGGGAGATAAAAAGAGTCATCACTAGTAACGTTAAACTGCCAATGCAGCATCATGACAGATTGTGCCTTACCTGTGCGTTGGCTGGGAGAAATTTTCCTGATGGGTCTCTTAGAGCTGCTGAATCACCAATTGCAAATGTCCGGGGATGGCCCTTTACTTGAAGGGTTTCCTCTGTCTCTACTTGCCCCCGGCCATTCAAAGGAATAACGTATGGGGCATCAGGAGGTTGTAACCGAAGAATCTGAGATTGTGAACCCACTGTCCATAATACCAGATCAGCTTCCAGAACCTGGCTCTGGAGGCCTCTTTGAGCGGCTTGAAGTTCCAAAACTAGTTTCTTATCGCCACCACCAGCTTCTTTTGCATCTGCAACCATGCTACCTGAATCCTCAGATGCATAAACCTCTCTGATGCAGTTCACCGAATATCCCAAGAAAAGTTGGATATTTTGAGACTCAAGAACCTGGTAGGAAATGCAACCAAACCAAAATTAGCTACTACCACGGAAGATAGGATTACTTTCATTTTGGAGTTCAGCAAAGAAATCATGAAAACAATAGGCATCAAGGACCAGCACAATGATATAAATAAACAGCCTGCACTTCTCTATGCTGTATCCTACATGGTCCATAGATGAACAGTTTGGTGACAGATTAGTAGGTGGTTGCCTGGTTGGGATTTATTAAGTTAGCACTGTTGCCTAAATAATTCTATATAGTCCATAAATGAACAGTTTGATGACAGATTAGTAAGTGGTTGCCTGGTTGATATTTATCAAGTTAGCACTGTTGCATTAAAGCTGCAACAGTCTTTCAAAAGGAACAGAGAGGAGAAGAAAGAAAGAAGCCACAACATAGTTTGGCTGACGCAAAGTCTTACATTGCACATGCAGCATCTTATGTTATTATTAACTTCAGATTATAGTCTTAGGACTACTAGTGGCACCAAAAACCGAAGTAGGGAACAGAAGCTTTTTAATCTTCTGTAATAATTTCCTGAGATGATCAGATGAAGTTAATCAAAACAGTCTGTAATGTGTAGATCCTTAGGTAATCACCTTCAGAGCAGCTTCACGATTTCCTGGTGGTGCGTTAGGACAGATGGTTGTTTGAAAATTGATTGCTTTGACAGTCCCTGTGTTCTTTAATCTCTCAGAGATAGTGGCAGCTAGCTCAACACCAGAGTAACCCAGTCCCACAATGGCCACCTGAATAGGTGGGGACTTCTTACCAAACTTTCTCCTTTCTAACATTTTCAATTCACTTTCAACTTTCTGCAGATAAAATAAGGCGACATTACGATTCTTGATGATCACCGTAAGTCATACAATATGAACTTGTTATACACAAACAATTGCCAGAACATGTCAACAAGAGATATATCATTAAAAACCAATAAAATCATATAATTAACGTGGATGCATCAAGAGTTACAGACATCACTGATGTATTTTAGATTAGTATCACTATCAACTTAGCAATCCCAAACAGTAGATGATAAACAGTTGAACTTAGCTTCAGCCCCTAGAGCTGTTATTTCAACAAAGGCTTGATTCTTACCAAAGCATGTTCCAAAGTTGTGAAAGGAAGTGCATATTCGGCAGATCCTGGAACGACGTCAATCTTAGCTTCAGCCCCTAGAGCTAGAACGAGCCTGGCTGCCCATTCCGAAAGATATATCACCAGTTAGCTTATTCTAAACCTAGCATAGAACATCCCAACAAAAAAAAAACTCGGCATAAAATATGAAGTAAAATACATCACTATTTTTGTTACATATTTCAATAACATCTAAAGAAAGTACTTGTATTATACAGATTAGTATTGCATTATTGCTAAAGTTCCCTGATACAGAGTATTGACAGAAGATGAATCGTGGGCTGTACAGCTACATGAGAAATTTTGATTCATATTGGATTCAGGAACAGGCTGATGTAAGGAAAGGGCGTCAAATGACAATCAGGTATTATGTACGAAGAGGCAATTCCAAGAAATTTGTATGCGCAGTTGCATTGTCACTTGTGAGGTTGAAAAGGTGGGACCAGATCTACATGTCAGTAAGACACACAATGTGTTCGAAGTTTCAAAACCTTTTAGCAGCATAGAACAATCAGCCCCATGTTTAAAATAATTCATAAAGAAGAAACACTGTCAAGATAAATATAATTCTTAAATTTGTTTTTTTTCAAAAAGCCTAAACACGACAGCTATTGCAATTCCATGGCATTTAATATCATCGTACCAATCATATTCAACAACGGTGCCACTTTCAAGATGAACAACTCCACCAGTGCATGATACTCCAGGCTCTCTTCTTAAGTGATCAGAAGGGCGAAGAAGCTTTACACTATCCTTCACAAATTGAACACTAGTGTTCTTCAGTAGCTCTGTAAAATACGGAGCTATTTCCCAGACATCCACCTCTGGCATCCAAATTAAAGTCCAACAGTCAAAACATGAAATAATGTGAAAACACACCATATATAATATTACCAGCAAAAGCATTTTACACTTGAAATTGCAGTACCTCCTGATAAGAGCTCATACAACATGGGCTTAAATACAAATCTTTCAGATTGATCAACCAGCATCACCTGCAACATTTTTCCCCCTTCTTAGTAAAATGTTACATCATTTCTTTAGAAAACACAAATGATTGGATTGCAGGATATGGGGACTGAGAAAAAGTGTCAAACTACAAATACCACCAACCCACGCTACTTCGATGTAGAATGGGATAGCACCAGGCAAATCTATAAGTTTCTAGCACAAGGAGCATCATCATTTTACCTGAGGCTTGTTATTACCAGGCCATACAAGAGATTCTAGTCTCAGAGCAGTATACAGCCCACCAAATCCACCACCCAAAATGCATACTCGTGGCCGCTGAAAACAAGAGAACACATTCAGTAAATCTGTAAATGGGACATAAGGGCATAAGGCTTTAGCAGAAGCATGCCAAACTTTCCGCTGAACAATAATACTCACAAGTTACCCTACATACAGACAAAATGCATGGACGGACATGAACTCCAGAAGCAAAACTTAAGGACACCCTGGTCTAGAAAAAACATAAGGGCACACAATTCCTCAAAAAATAAAATCCGTGCATATGAATAATGAGTCCCCATCAAGCAGTTAAACTCTAGAGTTGCCATATATCAAAACAATACTGAGTTACTCAAGTGTTCTATTAAACATAAGATCTATTTGGGTATATATATCTGAATGAAGTGTGCCAAACCAAAGTGTGTTCACTGGGACTAAGTTAGCACAAAACTGCAAACTCTACATACACAAGTCAGTGCTAAAACAGCTGTAGAGGACTTGATCCGTAAAATACACATTGATAGTATTACCAGTGTGCTAATCAAACAGAAAAAAATATATATCATCAGACAACAATGGATTTAAGGATGTGGGTAATCAAAATCCAGTATACCTGCTTGTCCGGCCAGGGGTACAGCGGAATCGGTGCTTCATCAATTGATTGAGGACGAGAGAACCCACCATCCCCGGAGCTACTTGAAGCCATGCATCTGAACAGTCCAGACGGCAGCCCAAACATTGCCGGGACATCACCGATTCTCCACGAGTTTTTGAGGACTGGATTCTTCCACGAATTCGTACCCCCTGTCAGGATCCAGACGAGCAGTCAGTTAGCCTGAGAACAAAATGTCACCCAACGAATCCGCCACTTTCCAAATCGCCCCATTCCGCAAAACTGGAAAGCGCACAAAACCATGCTCGAGTATGCCACAGTACTCCGCATGGAGCTTAAATCAGAGAACCGCAGTCGCGGGAAGAGGGCTGGGGGAGCTTGTGGCCTCACCGAACGGGCCGCGGAGGCGCGCCGAGGCGGGGAAGGGCCGGCCGCGGGGGGCCGACGGGCGGCCCCATGGAGCCGCGCGGCAGCTCATCGGCGGCTAGGGGGGACGGGTGCGAGCGAGACGTGGCGCGCGTGCGGTCGTAGCCTAGCTCCCGGCGATAGGGGGGGAGAAGCAAAAGGAGTTGTCTCCGGAGAGACACGACACGACGAGAGCCGGCAGCGTACCCGTACCAGTCGTAGTAGCGCTGCGGCTCCTCCGCCGGCCGCGTCGTCGCGGAGCCTCCGAGCCCGCTGGCAGCCACCCGCTGAAGATCAGGCTTGGGAATCTGCGCGGCCCATAATGCGCAAGATGGGCCTGATTTGTGCTCTGGAGCGTCCTCAAAAAATTAAAAAATAAAGCATTCTTCTAGGATTTGCACGCAGATAGAAAACTTGTTCATCTCTACAAAAATTTCAGTCCTTTTTTTATTTTCTTTACTATTTTATTTGAATTCAATGTTCGCCCTGGAGCATATGAGCTCATGATCCGCTATGGATTTTCGGCCTTCTAGGTGGTTTTTGAAAGAGAAAATAGCATTCTTGGTCTAGAACAGATTTCACTAAAAAAAGGGTCTAATAAAGGTTTTTCTTTGCTTAATATCCTAAAGGGTACTTTTAAAATACTATAAAATCCCTTTTCGCACCAAGTAATACCTGCTGCATGTAATTTTTATTTCGTTATCTGGTTTAGAGTGATGTGTTTTTTTAGCATGTTCAAGAAAATCGACCGCATTGTCTTTATTTGTTCAGTAAAATCTTTTTGTTCCCCGCAAAAAAAACTTTTTGTTGATGCAGGAAAATAGAATTATAGATCTTTCTGTTGACATAAAAGAAATATTTGAGAGATCATCTCGCTTCAACAAATTTTTTTCGAGAGTACGCAAATTGTATACCATAGCTTTATAAAAGAAGAGAATATCAATTACAAGGCCACTACCACTTACTGCGAACAACGAGCGTAGCAAAACTCCACACCTGGCTTGTCCAAGGACAGCCACCCACGACAACACAACAACAACGCAAAAGAGCCTACCCAAACCGAAAAACCTCACCGCGTCTTGACCGGCGGCGGTCACCTCCGAAGAACAGCAGCTCCCTCCAAGCTTCCCTTATCAATGCACCATCCCCCATAAAGCCAAGAGGAGGTGGCAAGAGGATGGCGGGACTCGATCCGACCTGAGAAAGACACCGTCTTGGAATCACCGGCGACGACCGTGCATTGCGTCGGGGAAGAACGATCAGGGCAACGGTGAACACCGGAGGAGCGCAACATAGGAACTCCAAGTCTCCCAGCACGATGCTCCCAACAGAGAGACGACGTCGAGGACGCCGCCATCATGTCGATTCAGGTCCGAATCAAGGCTTTCGCCCGGAGACAACTGCCAATACCAAGCAAGTGAGGAACTTGGCGACACACTCGGCGACGCCTCCAGGGAGGGGAATGACACCCACGGGTGCCATCGCCGCCGGCCCGACCATAAACCAGACTAGATTTTCATCCGTAATGCCGCGTCACTCCACTCCTCCAAGGTATTGGACAATACCGTCCATGATGCCTCGCACCGCCGCCACCGCAGCAAATTGCCGTCGAGGGTGGGTGCGCAGCCGTGGTTCTCTCCCACCCTCACTGCCGAGAGAACGCGACCAACACAGCATCCACCAAGTCGTGCAAGGGCCAGATCCAGCATTGTCGGCCTTCACCCACACCAGGGGACTACCACAAGCATGGAGCTGACCCATGCCTCTACTCACACTCCTGCGCCTACTCCACCGGGGCATCACCGCACGCTCCTCACACGGCGGCCGGCCGACCACCCGCTGCCCGCCAAGATACCTTCCTGGCAGGGCCTCCTCGGCGCCGCCACCACCACGGCCGAGCTCACGCCGCCGCCACCAGTAGAGCTGGGCTCCACCTACCTCTGCCATCCTGCTGTGCCCCTGGATCTGCTCGCGCCGCCGCACTCCGCGTTCCCCGCCGTGAAAGCCCACCACCACCATGGCCGCCTCAGGGACGTCCCGCTCCGCGCGAAGGGGAGCCGTCCAGAGGGCGCAGCCAGCGCCCGCCGCCTTCGCCGACCAGGCGCGGCCGCCACCGCCGGCGCCGGCGGCGGCAGCGGCCAGGGGGATGGGATCTAAGGTGTTGGAGGCTAGGGTTTGGGGGAGCCGCACGCGCGTGCGGCCCTGGAGGGTGGAAGAAACTCTCGCTTCAACAATAACGATGTTTCGGCTGATCTCAACTCAACCCCTGAGCTGGTTGTTGGTTTTCATGTCTATGAAAAAATATATAAAATACTTCCAGCACCGAGCTAATTCAAGATCCTAGCTCGATGCTGTATAAGTGTATTAATGCAGTATATGGCAGATAAAAATATGACAGGGTGTTGAATCTTTTTTAACAAAGAAGAAAACTTGCGTGACCTTTGCATCATATGGTGCACGTCCCTAATACACTCAACCAAAATGTCTACCATTTAGGAACAGAGGTATTGTTACAAGATTTAAAAATTGCAAATATAAATATGACCAAGCTAGATAATGGTATAGACAAAACAAGTATTGTAAAGCCTAATAAATCCTTGTCCATGCTATATGAAGAAACCCTTGATGTCTGCCTACAGCCAAAATTTTGGATAAGACCAGAAATGCTATTTACAAGTTTAAAAAAAGTATAGTTTTTTTTTGGAAAGATACATATAGATGTTCTTTCCAAGTTTTTTTTTGGAAAGTTTTACTAAATAATAGGATGATATGTAGGGTATAAAAAAGATAAAATTATGTCCCAAAAACAATTAAAAAAAAGTAGGCACGTATGAAAATATATATTGCTGGAAATTCATATGCACATACCACGAAATAATGTTCATGCATAGCTGGCACGAAATAAAGTTCACAATAAAGAAACTAAAACAGAAAGACAGCGAGACAAGCTACTAGCTACAGACTATCGGTCATTCAGATGCGAAAACGGTACGGTAGGACATCCTGTTTATCTCATGTAGCTGCCGACTACGCGCATATAGCGACAAAACAAGTTGGTTCTGAAACGTTGGAAGAAAGACAAGTGGTTCTAATGACAGAAATCGCCATGGCAATGAACCTCTCATCACACCGCCCGTAGCTCAGGTTATATAGTCACAAC